TCTATCTTCAAAGCCTTCACCATAGGAACACCCCAGAAATAGTATAGTCCATCCACTCGTTCACCCGCTCCAATCACCTTCCTCGTCGGTAGTGAAGGAGTTGTGTCTTCGGTAAGTGCAATTACTAGATATATCAAGGATCACTATTATGGAGATAATAAGTTCGTTCTCTTGGGGCGTCATCATCTGTTGCTAGACTATGAGAGATTATCTTTGGGCTAGTCAAATGGTCCAAAGCCCGCTAGAATGGATCCTATGAGGTCACACACAAGGGTATTGGGTTAAGCAAGTTAGAGGCCCATTAATGGGTCTCATGAGCAATTAACTGATCATGAAATGGATTGGGCTATCATAGTTAGATTAGAATTAGGTTTTGGGCTTTTGACATGGGCTCTTATTTAGAGATGAGATCTATAAATAAGATCCATGCCTAGGGTTGCAAGCAAGAAGTCATAATTCACACACAGTGTATTTTGACATCAAGGCAACCAATCCCAAAGACCCTAATTCCTTTCTCTAACTCACGACTTTCTCTCTCCTCCCCTCGTCCGTACGGTCGGCCACCTTAGTGGCGCGTGTGGTGGTTCGTGGTGGTTCATGGTGGTTCGTTGCTCGCACTTCTCCGTAGAAAGTCGATTGAAGAGTTCGATCGCGACTAACTAGCATTAGTGGAGGTCTTAATCCGTACCTGTGGACCAAGTAGAGGAATCACGTTTGAGGTTCTTTGTCTTCCTTGTTCTTGCTCGATCGCACGTGGAATCACGCTTCAAAGGTACGATTATATGTTCTTTATGTGTTATGCATTAGATCTTGGGATTAGGTACTGTATGAATATGATTCATGTTTATTTCCGCTACGTAGTACCTATAACACAAAGTTTATTAGTGAATTGCATGACACAATTTGATTCATCACATAATTGAGTCGTCGAAATTAAATTGCAATTCAATTGAGGCACATAAAGAATATTATTAATAGTCAAGTCCCCTTGCAATATAACCAATCCAATTTTGGAAGCATTGGCATAATTCCCATCCGGAAATCCCACCGGATAATGGCTCACATTCGTCACATTTCTCAAAAGAGAAAGATCACAAGTCACATGGTTTGAGACACCGGTGTCTATAATCCAACCCAAATCGTGTTTACCGGGAAGCTTGGGCGGAATAGAGTTTAAATGATCAAGTAGTTGTTGTATTTGAGCCGTTGTGACCCCTACAAGGGTTGCCCCATCTGAGGTGGTAACAACAGCTAGGGGTGTTAAAAAAAACCCGCCCCGCTTGTCCCGTCCCGACGACCCGCAAAATACCCGACGGGTAATTAGAGTTTTTTTATCCAATTTTCTGGGCTGGGTACCCAACCCACTAAAATTCTCGGGTCACGGGTCGGGACATGGGCCGCTTGTAACTCGAACGGGTACCCGACTACCCGCTAGTACCTGAAACTTTTAAAAAAATTCTGAAATATTTTGGGCTTCTGTACAACTATTCCATAGTTTAGGCCCTAAATGTTAGGGTTTCAATTTTAGCTCTTCATTTAAATACTCCTTCATGCTTGCCGCAGCCACTCTCGCTTCAGACACTTTTTATTTTATTTTTTCTTGTTTTGAGATATCTTAAATCCATCTTTATCCTCATAATTTTCTCTTTCCTCCTTGTCTCATGCTTATTCTATGACTATGAGACAAAATTTGAAACAAAATAAATGGAGTAACCTTCTTGATAAGCAAAAAGACTCATCGATTTACAATCATTATTACTCGTAGACGGAGCTCCCCATTTGCAAACTCCAAGTCATCATCTTTCCTTTGTATACCATTTATATTATACTTGTCAAATGCTTTCAAGCATCTTTTGTTCTAAACTTCTATTGCTCAAGTATTTTATACCAATGGAAATTATAATTGCTTCTGTATTTAAATTGTTTATGTTGTGGAAAATTACACTATGTATTTGGACTTGGTATAGCTTCAATCGATGTTTGGGAAATAGGTTAATATAAAAAAATAACTCAGTGAAGTTTTTTTATTTATTTTTTTTTCAGGTTTTAAATTCGGATACCCTAAGACCCGACTCGAGAAAAACGGGTACCCGACAAATGGGTACCCGAGTTATCCGGGTCGGAATATGGGCCGACTTTTTAACTACCCGAAAAACCGGGTACCCAAAATCCCGGGTACCCGGATTTGAACACCCCTAACAGCAGCCCCTTACAAGAGCCGAGAAGTAGCCATCACACAACTGATCACAATATTCCTCTTAGTGATTAAAATCACAAAGAAACCTCACTGACAAAAATTGTCACAAATCGTCACTGATAAAAGTTGTCACAAATCGTCACAAGCAAAGAAGTATATTAAATAATTGACTTTGTGAACCCTCACTGACTCACAAATAAATACATGAACAATCTTAATATGTATTCCCTCAATCTCAATCACCACTCCCAATATGTGTATTTGTGAACTCTCACAATTATAAGAAAATTGTCACTCAAAAAATGATCCCACAAACAGTAGGATGCCGCAAGGAAAGGATCCGAAACGTTGTTCCGATCAAAAAAGAAAAAAATTATGTGAACTCTTACACTCCTCACGATTTCACGAAGTTATGTAAATTTCGTGCGATCAATTCATCGAAAAAAAATAAATTTTGGATCAAATCTAAGCTCTGATACTATGTTAAATTAATCTCAAGAATATTTCTCTGTATTTCTCATTAATCACAATGGCCACATACAATATTTATATATTAGGTATATTTGGAGGGCAAGACCAAATAACCTAAAATAGTTCACAATATTCTCTAGGATATATTTTCACAATATTCACAATTATCTTATTTCCTAAAATATATCCCAATAGTCCTGCTGTGTGGAAGACATTCTGGAACTTGCATGTGAGTCTAAGAGACAGTTGCGCAAAGTACGTACTATCACATGTGCCTATTAGAAATATCAATGAAAATTGATGTTCAAAGAGACCGGATAAATTCTTCAAGGCACGTGGTAAACGCTTTCCTAATAGTTATTTATCGACTCTCTTTGGAACAATCGAGTTACACGATAACACTATTGGGATACAATGAAAAACCAATTAGTTTTGCTTGTTCTTACAAAACTAATTCAACAAAGTTTGAGTAGAAATGTGTTTGTTTTCACTCTAAGAAAATTACTGCAGATTTTCTCTCAAAGTAAGCAAGAATGATATGTAATTCTAATCTCATCCCTCATATATGTCATATAAACTCCTATTTATAGAGTTTATATGAAGAGCAGTTTTAATTCCAACGGATATGTCCGTTCACAAAGCAAACTGTTAAAAAAACTGTCAAAACCGTCATTTCTGAACTTTGCCCGGTCAGACCGGGCAATGGAACCCTACCGGGCGCGAGCAACACTTTTGTAAAACATGTAAAAACTGACAAACTCCCTTCGCCCTGGCAGACCGGGCAATTGAGCCCTACCGAGGGCGAGCAACATCTCAATGAAATTGAGATAATTGACAATTTTTACTCGTGCTCGCCCTACAAGGCAAGATTGCCCTGGCAGCCAGGGCGAAGCACAAATTCGTCAATTTTGCCTTGTTTTGTCACTTTTTATACATCTTGCTTTGCTATACGTCTAAGTATAATCATTATACTAATCCTCCTCAACTCATAGCATAATATAAACTTCATATATGATACATAAGCTCCATTTATTCCATAAATGTTCCAACAGTGCCAAGGTTTGTTCTCTCCCTCGAGTTTATATAACCACCATTAATATATTAAAAAAAATACAATGCTAAATATTTTGATCTTTGAACTTTTTCAATTTGTTTCACCATTTTATGTTGACATTTTCCAAACAGTGCTAAATTTTTGGAAGAGACAGCATGATTCATTGTTTTTATTGCTGATTACATCCTGAATGACTGTTTGTTTCCTAATGACCACTTGTTCGTATACTTAAATAATGACTGGGAACAAAGCATCTCTCATATAGACAAAGCTGTGTATAGAATGTTGGACTGTCCTGATTCTAAAGAATATATGGTGCTTGCAGAATCGGCTATGTTGCTTCAGATGATGTACAGGCAAATGGGCCTCAGTATCTGCAATTCCAGCAGATTGAAAACTGAGTGTTACTAATGCGACTTTTGGAGAAAAGGAAATCACACCTGAGTGCACCTATTCTATGAGCACGTCTTATAATTCGCCTTAATAAGAGCGAGCTTCAGTTTCTCTATACCTTTTGTACCACATAATTTTGCTTGCACCTTTAATAGTGTGATTTTCAACTGCAGAACCCCTTTCTCTTTCAATGATTTCAAGTCAGGAGACGTTTTTCAAAAGTCATCCACCCACTAATGATGGTCACTCACGAGAATGGAAACTTAGTGCCTTTTGTAACAGCAGTGATTGCACCAACCACGCTTGTTAGTACTCCCTCTGTCCCTAAATTTTTGCCCCATTTGACTTTTTGCGATCTCCAAGACGTATCTTATTACGGTTTTATTTCCGTTTTCATACTTGTAAAATTTATAAAGACTAGATATTAATAAAATTTGGTTTTAGGATTTTAAATCCAATTCAATCTGAAATCCCATTAACTCAACTTTGATATGATTCCATTATAATAAAAATTTTACATTTCATACATGTATAACAAATTTATTTTTATGACGTTATAAGCTCAAACATTGACTGTTGACCTTTAAGCTTAAAATAGATCAAAGATATAACACCAGCATTTTCATCCTTTTAGGAGGATAATTTGACCATACAAATTTGAACAGTTCAGTTTTAAGGATCCAATTCAAAGATTCAATCTTTGAAATATATAAATAAATAAATAAGATTTGAATTTCTAAAAGTAGTAGTAATAAATCCAGTTAGAATAAATTTGGATTTGATTTAATTTATTTCAAATAACTTTCACCCTAAATCACTTTCTTCTGAAATAAAATGGATAAAACAGCCAGATTTAGATGTGCTGGGACATTGTGCACATTTAGCTCATTTTAAGAGTCAATTTCACTAAAACAACAAATCAAGTATCCAGATATAAGTATCCAATTATTTCCTGTCACTAATTAAGGAATGTAATTGGCATCTTCAAATATCTGAAGTTACAGCAAAATATCAAGGATTACTTGTCATACATGACATGATAAGTTGTTTACATAAATGTGGGAGATGATGACAACGATTGAGAGTTGACATGTATCTCATCTCATAGCAGAAAATGAAGTGCAACAGAAGCTATTACATAATTTATGTAGGACATTAAAAGCATCCGACGAGCAGTCTCCAAATCATGTAGAAACCAGCATTAGAATGTACAGCCACCCTACCAAATGTGATACCCCTTCACTATAGAAGTAAATAGAAGCGATTTTTAAGCTGTTTGTAACCCCTCTTCACTTGTCAGATATACTCCAACAATGACAGAAGCCATTGTCTTTGTTTAAGCTAAAAACCACGATAAATTATATACAAGAACCTCAGATTTAAAAAATGAGGATCTCACCAATGTTATTGGAGATGATCAAAACCTAATATGGAACTGTCAGTAGATGAACTAACCCGCCAACTAGACATGTCTGAGATTGTTGCTCTCTCTCACTATTTCAGGTAGTAATCACCTATATTCTCCACAAGATAGCCATATGGCGGGCCAACTCCATGATCAAATGACTTATCTCCACTGATCAATTGATTGGGATCAGAGCGGAGATTTCCAACACCATCTTTGCTGTTTAACTTAGCCCTTCCTTTAAGTGGACGCCTGTTATCAAGCGGAAACTCTGCAGAAAGTCTACCCATCTGCTTTTGGAGCTCAGAAACAGTATCATTTGCTGTTTTCCCTCTAGGAGTTTTCTTACGATCCACCAACTTGAGTTCCAATCTATACAGTGCACACACATCACACTTGTTGATCTCGTACTCATAGAGATGCCATTCATAGTTGTTCAGTGGTTGAGGATCCATATAATAAGATCTTTTCAGCCCACTGAACTCATCCATAACTTGCTTTCTCGACTCATGCCACCCTCGGCCACTGTAATCTGGTAATGATCTCTGCTTTCTGTTTCCACTCTCAAATGCTCTTCGAGGTTTGTCAAAGAAGAGCCACTCCCTAATAGTCTCCCCCTCAAGAACTGAGAGATCAAAAAGTTCTGCAATAATATGGAAAATATATGCTAAATGAACACATAGCAAATGTTGCAAATGGGAAACGGAAAAATTATGACAAATCCAAGAAAAAAAAAGGAACAACATGCCGTCCCACTAAGATTATCACACAACTCTTGTGATTGATAAAGGCTATCAACCATTAACAAAGTAAGTAGAATGTGATCTGAAGGGTTATTTTCGGAGAACAACTTTGTTGAACATTGACAAATGTGCCCAATTATGAAGTAGAGCGTTACCATAAAGGTAATTTGGGAAAATAATTTTGTTGAATCTTACAGTAGCAAATGTAATTTCTACAACATGAAACTATAACATTTATAGGAAAATGGGGTAACAAGTTGATAAGCATGTAACAGAAACTTACCAGGAGCGTTCCAAGGTGACTTTGCAGTTGCTGCCCCCTCACATTCCGGAATGCCAACATCTTTTCCTTGTGCTTTCGCACTCAAAGCAGCAAAAAGCAAGCCATCCTTCAGGCCAATGCCTCCTGGACGTAAGACCGGAGTCATTCCAGGAGGGCCCTCATTCAATGCAAGAATAGCATGGAAGCTACTGCAGTAATCTAACCACCAGTCTGATCCTTGGGCAGGCCTAGGACAATCCCATAGTGCACATTTTGGACCCAAAAAAGCAGCAGGTGGTGGGCATACATTTGGCAGAAATCCTGAAATTGGATGTGCGTACAGAGCACTTACATCAACGCCATTATATCCACTAAGATAATGATGCTCAAGGTCCACATGCAGATTAAATTGATTGTAATCCAGCTGGTTGGCCATTTCCATATTAGTCGTTGTCAAACTGCGCAATCCAGGAGATCCTTTGCATTGATCAACTGGTGAGAAATTCTGCTCCAGTGATCCAGGCTTGACTTCAGGGCCCTGTTAAAGCCAACTTCAAAGTCAATTACCATATTAATTTCTAAACATTTTCAACAAGATTAGTTTAACTGTCGCAGTTTACAACAAGATCTAAGAGCAACTACAGATAATGAAAGTTTTTTTTAAAAAAAAATCATAAAACATGACTGTTTAAAAAAAAAAAAAGAGGTTTTATCAAAAAGAAAAGAAAATCACTGAAATTAAGACGCACAACTCAAAGGACTCCATTTATAAAATTTAAAATTTTGAGTGCGGGAAAATTCAAGTTATGTTTCCACAATGAAGTTTTCATATACAAAACACTAAGTGATTACAAAATACTTAATGTAAATGATGGGCCATAACAAACAATTTTGTTCTCCTTTCTACATTGTAGCTCTTTTATTAATTATTCTGTTTTTTTTTTTTTGCCTTTTCGGTGAAGTAGAAAAATGAGGGAACTATAATTGGAAGACATGAACTAAGCATAAGGTTCTGGAAATACAGGAGATAAGTCCCCGCTTAGGCTGCTCCAGCAAGACAACAACACCAAAAATGAAAGTTTCAGCTAGAACAAACAAAAAAAATGAAAAAGAAATCACAAAGAAAATTTGGAATAATATAATTCCAACTGTTTTTTCAGCATCTCTTCTCTCTCCCTGGAACGGAATCTACGAAGGCTGGTGACTAGAGACTCGTTTAATGGAGCAAATGAGACCACTTTTAGGTTGCAAATCCATGAAGATAGCACAACTCAATTAATTACTTTTAATATCAATTTCTCCACAAATTAAAGAGTAGGGTTTTCACTCCAAAATCTAGATCTATAATATCTTCCTTTGTTTTCACAAATGCCACAAGCCCACAAATCATCAGTGAAATAGCCCAAATAGGTGTCAAAGGATCCAATCACACCATCCTGGGTATGATTCATTAGCAGGTTCTAATCTTGTATCAGATTGGGTAGACAGGGGAAACAGCCCTTTACAATCAAATAAGATAAGAGGTTGATATCTTGCACCTTTTCTCCATTCCTAAAAATATTGTTCACTTTCTTGCAATTTCTTTTTGTTCCTTGGAATAGGATAGCATATCTTGAACATTCATTTTTTTTCCTATCTAGCAAAGGTCCCACAGATTGCATAATATTATCTTAGAAAAGGAGTGATACAAGTCAAGAAGTTCTCCTACACACTAATTGGCATAAAAAGTCAGCATTTGTTATCATGTGGTACCAGAAGTACGGGAAAGAGAATACACCATAAGGAAAGAGGGTTTATTAGGCCTTTATTTTGGTTTCCAAAAATCAGATAAATCCATAACAAAGCTCACATATATGAGGCTCCGATCAACAGAAAGAACTTAAAGTTGGTTAGATTTCAAAATATATATTGGAAGTCTTCTACTCAAAACATGCGTTGCACCTGGTAAACCTAAAAAAAGATCAAAACAGGAATGCAAAATTGAAGGTAACTGCAAAAGTCAATCAAGAAATAAATAAAATATGCACCAGCAATTCCATTCCCCACTATTGTTTGACAGCTGTAACTCTCATGGCTCACAACATTTAAAACCACGAATTCCAAAGTAATCAGAAAATTGGGGATGGGGAGAGTAACCTAAAGTTGACGTCTCTAATACAACAGTGGGGTTTGGTTAATTAAAGGTGAATATTAAAAAAATAAATAAATAACTGATTAAAACATAACAATAACAACAATATATACTTGATTAAAAGTGAATAAAAATAGATAAAGATGTAATGGGACTTTTATTTAGGGACAAGATTTTTGGGTGAAACCGTGAATTGAGACTTTTATTTTAGAATAGAGGGAATAGAACAAAAGCCAAGGAGTTTCCAAATTCCAAAAGCCAGGTGTTTGCTGATTTGATCTCTAATGCAAAGGTAACTCAGATCTTTGAGCCTTGTCTAGGGAGTTATTATTCTTTTTGAGAAATGAAAAAAGAGAATTCATGCATCACATGCTGATGAACTTAAAGCATTCACAAAGTGACAAAGCTAACTCAACAAGGTTGAACTATGTACCCTCAATCATATCCCAACTTCTTTCACTAACATTCATGAGAAGCCTCCTGGTGCATAAAGGATTGACAACATCTATGGTATACTAATTATTCATATCCCACTTCTTCTACCAGAGGCGGGAAGCTAGGTGCAAAGCAGAGCCATTTTATTCAAGTTTTTGCTTTCAAAATATGTCTTAGCTTTCCTCTATCCTGCAATTTCTTGTGTCATTTCCAGAAGTGCCAAACACGAATCTCTATGACTTTATATGACACTGAATGCCTACGCAACATTTAGAAAATAAGACTAAAGTTTCCACAATGTGCAAGGTGAGGTAGGTGTTCCTCACCAATGCATAAATTTTCTCAGTTTCCATATAATTGAGAGCCATGAATATGAAATAGGAAGTAAACTACCTCCTGGAAGCCTATAGCATCTCCAGCTTGAAACTTTTGAACATCAGGTTCAGACTTTGGTAGAGGAAGCTCAAATGGACTTGTAGCATCATCTTCTTCATCACAAAGGTGCAACAGCCGATAGATGTCCGAAGAGAATGTACCAAGACTATCGTTCTACAAGAAGCCAGTTTAGTCATAATTGTCCATACTCCTTTTCTTCATCATAGAACATGCAGCACTAATAACAGGAAGTAAAGAAACAAATATATGAAATCCTCACTTGTACAGACGACGCAGGTGAAGGCTCATTAAGTTCAGATTTCCATTCACGTAACATTAGATAGACCTGCTCTTCAAGAACTGTAGCATCAAGCGTGCGGCTATCCTTCCTTGCTGACTGCAGATCTGAAAATATCATCTGAAGATCATCGACTCGATTCTTTGCTTTATCCTTAAAGAGCTGGTGTGATGCTGACTTGCAGCTGTTTCTCTTCAAACCCTTCCTCATTATAAATCTCAAAATTCAAAGGATCCTATGTAGCTACAACAAAATAAAGAGCACAACTTCAATCATGTCAGAAATATTAATGCAATATCACAAGGCTTCACACTTGATGGCATATCTAATGGATAAAATGATGCTTAGCGGCCTTAGCCATAAGAGAATAATACAGTACAGATCCTGCAACAGATCCATCAACAAATCCATTCAACAGAACACAATTGATTCAGAATGAAACTTGTCAGAAATTGTCAAATGGAAATAGTACCCTCCACTTCTAAGCTTCCAACTAACAACGCCCTCTTAAGAACAGTACAAAGTAGCTTTCACAGGTGAAATATTCTCATATGACATCATTTGGTTTAATAACCCTAAACAATTCAATCTCTTATCCCCACCCCCCATCCCTCTTGGGAAGCAGAATCTATACGACTATACTGGTTATTGTTGCCATACCAAACTCAATCCATGAGATGTTTATTCATCAAAAAAAAGAAGCCCACAAAATCATTCCCTCATAAACTAAGATCCAATGGCATCAAAATATTTAGAGCACACTCAGATATCAGATAATTCCACTTCTGATCCTAAACCCTTAGAAAACACCACAATTAAACCTCCAAAACAATATTTCCACTTCAGTTAACAATCCAATCATACAGAAACTTCTCCAAACAAACACATAAATCATCATAAACAAAAGCCAAATTGTGATTTCAACTTCACTACAAAAACAACACTTCAGCACTAATCACACCTGAAATTCTCCAAACAATAAATGATCTTAAACACGAACCCAATCACACCCAAATTTCTCCAAACAATCATACATATGATCTTAACACAAAAACCAATTAAGAATAAAATAAAACAATCCTAATCACACCCAAATTTCCCCCAACAATCACACATGATCCTAACACAAAACCCATTTGAGAATCAAATGAAACAACTCCAATCACACCCAAATTCTCCCAACAACCATATAAATGATCTTAAACTCATAAACCCAATTAAGAATTAGGGTTCAAAAGGACAAAAAAGCACCAAAGTCTAAAATAAATCAGGAACTAAATACATTAAAGTATCATCATAAAAACAAAGAGATAACAAAACTTACAGAAAATCAGGATGCAAAACCTCAAAAAAACTAAATGGGTATCAACAAATATGGATGCAATACACAAACAAGATATGTAAAGGGGTGAAAAGGGGTCAAAAAAAGATTAAAAATTGCAAGTGATAATATTCAGAATAATAAGAAAAAAAAAACATGGGGTTGAAAAAAAATGAAAAGTAGATGCTCACCCAGAATAAATGAGAGGTCGATCGCCAAATTTGAGAATCGAGAAAGTCTGAGCACTGAGATGGCAGTAGAAGGAAGAGGAGAGAGAGAGAGTGAAGGGTGTGTGAAGGGTTAAGTAGAGAGAGAAAGAAGGGCTCTACAAAGCAAAATTCTTTAGGCATTACAGATTCTTTAGGCACTCGTATAAATGCGGGGGTCCAACAAACCATGTACAAATATGTATGAACGCGGTAAAATGATGGGAATTCAAGGATAGAATGTCTTGTTTTTCTCTTTTATTGGAAAATGGAAACTATGTAAATGTAATATTGGTGTCATGCTAATGGGGACTTCTCAAAATGTACCGACAGGGTATTAACAAGTACTTGGATCAATTGGTAAGGGAGTTATTTCATCTAAATTAAAAGGTTTAAGGTTTTGTTTTCGGTGTGACCAACTTATTTCTTTCTATATAAGTGATGGTTTACCGCTTAATTACAGTTAACGTAGATTAGCTGTCCTTGGGGTTTTGGGTTTTATCCGAGAATTACCGCTTTAGTAGCTAAAGTTAGTACTGATTTGATATGGTTAAAAAGTAATTTGAGAGTAAATTATAAAATATTATATCTTAGAAGTAAGATATCTAGGGGAATTCATAAAAATCCCCAACGCAAGTGCCATTTGCAAGTCCACGATGGTCTCTTGCCAACAGTTACTAATAGCTGGTCTCCAGACCACCTATATAAATAGTCCCTCGCTGATGCACGCGTGACATCAGCAGGTCACATATTGTCAAATCATATACAAACCTTTTATAAAAGAAAAAAATATATAATTTTTTTATTTTTAAAAGTTGTCATACCCATTTTCTCTCTCTATCCATCACTTTTTCTCTTTAACTATCATTTTGTCTCTCTATTTCCTCTCAAAACCACCATAATCTATCAAACTACAAAGCTTAGAGATCAAAATAACATGCATAAACATGGATATTCGAGATAAAAGTAGAGCAGCATCCCAATAATATGAAAAACAACCTTAGAAAAAGCGGTAATTTTGCAATTTTCTTTGTACTAGTAGCATAATTGTTTAATTACAAGCTAGACTTTTTGTAGCAATTTTATTTGATTATTATGGAGGAATTTTGCCAAATTTCATTGCAATTTTGGTTGATTTTATCTACATTTTCAATTTTGATTAATTAATTACATTTGATAGTATGAAAATTGTGAACATTAATATTATAAGAAAGAACATCTGATATTACAAAAATGAACATCTAATATTACAAGAATGAACATTTTTTCAAATTGTGAACATTAAGAATGAAAATCTGATATTATAAGAATGGATGTCTGATATTACGAGAATGAACATTTTCCCAAATTGTGAATATTAATATTATCAGAATGAACCACTGATATAGTATGAAAATGAACATTTAATTTTGAAAGAATAAATATCTTATAGCAAAAAAAATGTTCATTTTTGTTATACAGTATTGTGAACATTAATATTATAATAATGAACATTTGATAGTATGAAAATAAACATTAATATTATAAGAATGAATGTTTGATAGTATGAAAATGAATATTTAATTTTGTAAGAAATAATATCCTATAGCAAGAAAATGATCATTCTTGTTATATTAAATATTCATTTTTACAATGAAGGATCAACCATGAAAATGTTCATTCTTGTTATGTTAAATGTTCATTTTTACAATGAGGGACCAACTAAATATGGCTGGTCTTGAGACCAGCTAAAAGTTTGCGCTCTTTTCAAGTGAGTAGCAAGTGTCCACGTGGTCGGAAGTAGGTCTCCACATGGAGAGTGATGGGGGCCTATATGGATATTTGACTAGTAGTAGACATGATCCATTGCAAATACCTGACCCATTTATATCGATAGCCCGTATCATTGCATATACTTCCTTCGTTTCTTTTTAGTTAACACCTTTCTTTAGTCGCGTTTGCTAATGCACAAATTAAACCCTTAATATCTTTAATTACCAATAAGCAAAAATTATGAAAGTTGATAGTTTAAAAATCTATATCGTGACGAATCTAACAAGATCACATGACTACATTTTTCATTATATATGAAGCACAAAACACAGTCCAAGAAGAGTGTGTGAATAGTGCTAAATTCAAAACGTGTCAACTAAAAAAAACAGAGATAAGTTTTAAACCTTGAAAGTGGCGATATTACGGCAACTTTTTGGTGAAGCAGGTCACACCGTGCGACAGAAATTACCTGAGTTTTTTGTTAGGGATTACCCGAGTTATTCAATCAGGGGTAGGAATGGCAGCGGATCGGATTCGGGTTGGATGTGGCTAAATCCGAATCCGATCCATTTAGTAAACGAACCCTGGACTTGGATCTGAATCCGAAAAATCCGAGTCCGAATCCGATCCGACTCGTAATTTTCGAATCCGAATCCGGTCTTTGAAATGATCCGACTATTTTTTTATTTTTATTTTTTGTAATGTCATATACCTATAATTGCTTGTATTGTCATACCAATTAAAGTGTAAACATAACATATTTAAATTATAAACCAAGTTATATAACAAAATTTTGCTACAAAACAAGCAAATAATTGTCCCAAGCTATAGAGCATATGCTTATACTCTCGGATTCGGACTCGGATCGGACTCCATCGGACTTTGCGTAGGGTCCAAGTTCGATCCACCTCCTATTCGGATTCGGATCTATTTTATTGAATTCGGATTCGGACTAATTTTAAACGAATTTGAATCGGATTTTTTTCCTTCGGACCGGATTGGATTCGAATCGAACTCGGATTAAATCAGCATCCCTAATCAGGGGTTACTCGAGTTACTCGGTCAAGGGTTACTTGATGGGTTCAAATAGGGGTCACTCGGTCAAGGGTTACTCCATTAGAGGTTACTCGATGGGTTACTCGGTCACAGGTTACTTGAGTTACTCGGTCAGGGTTACTTGAGTTACTCGGTCAGGGATTATTTAAGGAGTTTGGTCAAGGGTTACTCGGGTAATTCGGTCAGGTCAGGGGTTACTTGACCGAGTAACTTGAGTAACCCCGACAACTCGAGTAACCTCTAACCGAGAAACTCGAGTAACCCTTACCTGGAAACTCAAGTAACCTTGACTGAGAAACTCAAGTAACCCCGGCAACTCAAGTAATTATTATTATTATTATTATTATTATTATTATTATTATTATTACTATTATTATTATTGTTATTATTATTATTATTAAGCAGTATAGAGCAGATTACAATAAAGCAGAGCAGAACAACTCTAAAGAACGGGGCTTACCAAGCTCAAAATTACTTAGCTTGAAAAGTGCCAAAATTAAATGAGAATGATAACAACACATACAAGATACAAGCATACAACTTGACAAAAAAAGAAGTGAAAAAGTAAATTGGTAGTTAACTCATCTTTTTGTATACTTCGTTTAAGTTAAGAAACACTCGTTTGATTGCTTGACCATTTTGCTAGGTTGTTATTGGATTATTACTTCCATATACTTTTGCAATTAAACAATATCTATAGATTGTCCCTTCAATTAATCAATTATATTTTAAAAATTCTTTTTTCTACCCATCTAAAATGAGCAATTTCCGTAAATAATTCTAAAATAAAAAATAATTCCGTGTGTACGTTGCTTTAAAAAATGTTTCCCATCATATCGTTCACGTAGGCTCGGATTTTTGGCTATTAATAAACCGCTAATAAAGATTGCGGTTCTACACAAATTAGAACCGCTAATGGTATTAGAGGTTCTATTTGAAGAACCTGTAATGTTTAGAGGTTCTTTAAATAGAACCTCTAATGGTATTAGCGGTTCTATTTGAAGAACCTCTAATGGTATTACCGGTTCTATTTGAAGAACCTCTAATACCATTAGCGGTTCTATTTGAAGAACCTGTAATGGTTAGAGGATCTTTAAATAGAACCTCTAATGGTATTAGCGGTTCTATTTGAAGAACCTAAACATTAAGCCTGATAAGTTACTGAGTATTTTAAGTATAAACCGCTAACATTAGCGGTTTTAATAAATGAACCGGTAATGACATTTTTTTAAAATCTGGTATTGTTATTAGCGGTTTATAGCCTCGGATTTTACAACCCTACACTAATCCTACGTGAACGGTATCACGGGAAATAATTTTACAACTAACATATATATGGAATTATTTTTTATTTTAACATTATTTACGGAAACTGCTCCATCTTAAACATAAATAAATAAAACATTTTCGAGTAATAGACGAGATTATATTTATAATTATCAGTAGTCAACATTGACTAATAGGAAAGTAAAGGAATCATTAAAAACTTAAGAATCAATTCCTGATCCATTTGCAAACATATGATAGATGATACATGTCCTTAATTATCACCTACTTCTGGTCCAACGAAATAAAGAATTTGATGCTTATCATCATTAATTAATAAGTGGTTCTAATCAACTTGTAAACAGCCTATTTCTTCAAACATTTCATCAGCAAATTCAACTGTACCAAAGAAAAGAAAGAACCTAAACCATCCCTTTGTATCATATAATCAAGGCCAAGCAAACCTGTATAAGAAACGAATAAAGAGTCCCCCCCACTAAACAGAACCATATTATTCTCTGTTTTTCTTCGACACACTGCCTCATAATTAGATTTTAAAGTTGTATGCCCATCATTCATGTGTTTAGGCATAAAATATCATATGATGCTTTTTTTTTTTTAACTAAACACATGAAATATGGAAAAATCTTATGTACACAAATACGTCGTGCTGCATGTATGAAACTGGTTTGCAACAGATCAGAATAGAAATCAGATGAGAGAACTGAGAAGAAAAATTGCACTACAAAGTGCTAGTAATTTTATTTAGACAAAAATAAGACTATCAATCTGTTAGGTTATTACAGTTTTATTCGTAATTTACAGGGTTGGAATGAAGGACTCGAACTAACAGTGTGAGAGATTGGCAATCACTTTGACTGTGAATATGGTCACTAATAAATAATAATGATCTCCTAAAAATCATATACAGAAAATATGGGCACAGATCACCCAAAAAGTAAAACTAAACAAGCTAAAAATAAAAAAATTAAGGCTGCTAGTGAATTTAGTCAAGAGATGAATTATCAGTCAGTTCAAGCACCTTGTGCTGACTTTTCAGTTCCTGACTGACTAAAAAATCTGAAGTTGAAAATACCAGCTATACCTTGTCCCTTTGCTAGCTTCTCGATTTCTACGAGTTTGTGCTTAAGTTGCTCCATTTCCTTATATAGATCTTCGTTTTTTTGTCTCAATG